ACACGTGATGCGTGTGCAGGTGTAGGTTATTTTTACTCTTCCGTGAGTTTTACAGACTGTAGAGAAATTAGATTCTTGCATGTCTGGTGCCGTGTGTTTGTGCACATGTAAGAAGGGTTGTCAGATACAAGGGAGCGTATGCTTCCCAGGAAGAGAATAGACAGGTCTGATGATAATCAGAAGCATGACGAGGTAACATGCACAGAATGAAAGAAAAGCCCCCGGGAACAGATTTACAACCCTGTGACCAACAGGGGACCAATATCCAAATTATACAGAAGGCCCGTAGTGAGTTCGTCATGTTTTCTGTTGTGTACATCAGATCACAGGTGCTCACTGTAACTAGAAGTGCTTACTGTCTGATCCATGAGTACGTGATACGGGAGTTCACTCGAGATTGGGACTGTCCATCTCGGGGGCTGTGAGTTCGAGCACCATGCTGCGTGTAGAGATTACTTAAGATCTTAAAGAAAACATCTCCCAGTATTACTGTGGATTTGTCCATCTCACTCTGTCCTTACGTTCATTTCTGCTGTATGTATTTCAGGGCCATATTTTATTAAATGTATATCAGTGCAGAATTGTTGTATTTTTCTGATGTATTATTTTTTTATTATTTAATGATTTCTATTCCAAATTATGTGTGTTGAGTAAAAATCTATTGATCTGATGAGAATAGAACTAAATTAGCTTTCTTTTGGTTAATATTTGCCTTGTCTGTCCTTTCTCAATCTTTTGAACTTGTTTTTTCTTTTAAAACTGAACACCAAATCTGTTTTATTTTCCCCTTGGACAGGGTGTGACCATTCTAAACCTCAAATTAACTGCAGTTTGGTTTTTTATATAGTCTAATGGACTTTCACCAGCCTAGCCTATTTGCATTTGTGGGGATCACTGATAAGCTTTGATTCATTCTTTCTTATTCTAGTACTTTCTATGTATTATGCTTTTTGTTTTTTGCCCACCCACCCCCACTCTTGTGTTTTCTTCCCTTTTTTCCTCTTCTTCTACTGTTCCGGAAGTTACACATTCTCTTTTTATCTTTTACTGGTACCCTTAAAATTTTTTTACATATACCTATAGTCCAGGTTAACACTGTTTCCTCCCTCTTCCTCCCTCTTCCTGATACTATAATTTTACTTCAAATGTTTCTGCATGGATGTTCCCTGTCTCACATGTTCTGTGTCTCACATTTTAGTTCCACGTTGTTTCCCCACCCCAAATCTTAAATGACTGTTACTGTGTACTTATTAAAGCTTGCTTGCTTGCTTGCTTGATTTATTTATTAAAAAATTTTTTTGATGTTTATTTTTGAGAGACAGAGTACGAGTGGGGGAGGGGCAGAGAGAGAGAGAGGAAGACACAGAATCTGAAGCAGGCTCCAGGCTCCGAACTGTCAGCACAGAGCCCGATGTGGGGCTCGAACTCACAAACCGATGCGGGGCTTGAACCCACGAACCGTGAGGTCATGACTTGAGCCAAAGTCTGATGCCCAACCAACTGAGCCCCCCAAGGCGCCCCTATTCCAACTTATTTAGTTCCATGTTTACCATTTTTTTCGTTTCGCTCTACTGCCAGCCCCACACCTACCTCCTGCATTCACTTCTGTTCACAAAGAATGTGGGGTATCTCCTCATTCAACCCCCAGTTGTAGAGATGAGGAGACCAGCGTCGCATGAGGTCACAGTTGCAGAGCTGACTGTAGACCCCACACCGTCTGGCGTCCCAGTCTCGTGCACAGTTGCCAGTGTTACTCAAACACTGGGGCTTACCCAGTGGGCATTTAATAACTCATAGAGGTGGCATTTCAGGTCGGTGGAAGAAAGTAAGTGTTGTTAAGGCAGATGGTTAGCTATGCAGGGGAAGAGTTCGGCTGGACCTTAACCACAGTGTGTCCACGGCCCGGCTCTGGTGTGACCTCGGGCAGTGTATTTAAGCTCCCTCAGAACAAGAACACTGCCTGGCAGGATCCCCTGAGACTAATTAACATGCAGAGTGCTTAGCGTGGCGAGTGACACATATGCATCATCTGATAGAGGGACGTCGTTCTTGCTCATTTTCTCTTCTCAACCTACACGGAAGCCTAGTGTGTACTCTCCTAGGCCTGCCGTGCGCCCAGGACAGTGACCGAAGCTTACACGACTGGCTCGGCTGTGTAAGCTTACGTTGAGGAACGAGACTATTACTCTGAGTGTTGGGCTGGTAAACACAGAGCATTGCGGCCAAAGGGCAAGCGAGCGCCCGTGGATAGGTTTGCTGTCATGGACCCGGGACTTGATGTGGGCTGTTTGCCAAGAATGGTGAATGCAGTCCTGCAACTCAGGACCTTCCTAAGAGGCGCCAAGGAGAGTCCGACAGTGTTTGAGTGTCTGTTCTTCCCTCTCGCTTCATGATCTATCGAGTAAGGCTTTATTTAATACTCCAGTCATAATGGCAGTTCATGACAATTAGATTTCAAAACTCCAGGTTTTACGGCTAAAGGAAAAGTAGAAACAAAGTATTTTTGGATGATTCTCCTTCCATACTATTCCAACATGCTTAACATTCTTTACGTGGAAGGACAGTGGCTAGATCATGCTCTGCAGCACTTTTCACATTTGTTTTTCCTTGTGAAAGGTGGACAGGCACGTGGACCTGCTGGAAGTCGCCCAGGAGACGGACGGTTTCTCAGGCAGTGACCTGAAGGAGATGTGCAGGGACGCCGCCCTCCTGTGTGTCCGGGAGTATGTTAATTCTACATCGGAAGAAAGGTATCATCTCCTATTTCTCAGACTCTTTTAGACCTTTCAGGGTGGTTTCCGTTATTTTTCTTGACAATACCAACTCTGCTTATGGTATAAAAGGTGAACTTGAATTAACAATCTCCCCAACTTTATGAACTGCCCTTTTTTCTTCCTAAAGGAAAGTTCTGAAAGCGAGTTGGGAACGGGGGTTGTGGGGAGGCTCTGGAAGGAAAAGGAAGAAACAGAAGCTGCACGTTTGCCAAAAATCCCCGCACTGGGTCACAGGAGGCCGACGGCAGCTTAGGCTTACTTACTCCTAGGAAAGAGGGTTCTCTAGGATTCCCGGACTGCTTTGCACTTGAAAGTCCTAGTTCCATTTCCTGTGCTCTTCCAGGGATTTCCCACGTGAGTGGGCCTGGGGGCCATTGCTGGGGATTAGACTTCAGTGTGTTAACAGTAATGCGTGTGCTAGACAGACTGTTGCCACTGGGGCAAACTTCACTCGAAAGCAGTTTCAGAGCACGAGTTTGAGAAACCAGCTCTGTGCCCGGCTATTTCAGCAGAGACGCTAGTGAGCCGGCTCAAGTCCGCCCCCGTGAACTGTGCCCTGCAAAGACCTTTCCCAGAAGGCCGCTTGCCCTGGGCCAGCCTAACACTGCGTTTCTAAGCCTCTTTTCAGAGTACTGACCTTCTGATGAAGGGTTTCTGTAACTCTTAGCACACTGTTGTACTTTGGGGCCTCATGTTGAATGAGTTCTCCGCCTCTGGCCCCTTTTTCTAAGGCCTCCTCCCTCATCCGCCGCCGAGGCTGTCACTCCAGGAGACCTGGATGTGCTGGTGGTGCCATGTTTTTAATGACGGTGCATCGCCATAGCAAGCTTCACCAAAAACTCTTTCGCTTGGTGTAGGAAGAAAGGTTAGCTATGTTTGCCCTAGTTCCGCACCTGCCTTCAGTGCTCCCTGGGGCCCCGTTATGGAGAGGCTCACTTCATTTATTTGTTGCTGGATTTCTCCAGCTCCCCTAATGCTGATGCTGGGAATACTTTTGACCTCTGACCGGAGCCAAGAGTCTACTTGCCAAAGGTTTTTATTCTTGTGTATAAGAAAATGAGGAGAGGAGGAGAAACAACTGATGAATACGTTTTGTGTGAATAAGTTACATTAATAAAGAAAGTCCTATTTTTCTGCTGTCCTCAAAGCCTTTGAAAATTTTATATGTCAGGATGAAAAATCTGGGTCTTAGACTTGGCTTATCGTAACTTTTTCCCTAAATGTTTTTTCCTAAATGTTTGTAAATTACAAGGAGACATTATATATTGGATTTTGTTTTTCTCATTATTGAATAGGGGAGGTTTAGGCTAGTTGGTTTTTATTAATAGCAAAGAATTTTATTTTTAGTTTGTCACATGCTAAATATGTACATGAATATATACCCAAGAATGCTACTTTTAATTTCAGTTTTCATGGGAATAATTTTTGATTCCTTGATGGGAATTCTCCGCCCACATAGATAAACTGCACACCTTTCTCTAATATTTCCACGTTGTGCCAACATTCTGCATTTGGTTCTTAGTGTGAGATATTTGGTTTTCATAACCACATCTGCAACACTGAGTTACAGCCGGCCATTTTGGCCTCCTCCCTCCCAGCAGCCCGTGCTTCTAAAAACATCCTCCCCAGCTTGTGTCTGCACAGAAAATTCTGGAAGCATTCACATGAAGCTCATAATTGTGGCTGTCCTTGGGGGTCTTAGGTGGGACAAAGATTTCATTTCTTAATCTCAGGAGGATGTTTTTGGGAGGTGTATTTGAAAGTTATTTGACCATCTGGCGGTTTTGTCTGTGTCTTAGCCGCGATGAAGATGAAATCCGGCCTGTGCAACAGCAGGACCTGCATCGAGCGATTGAGAAGATGAAGAAATCCAAGGACGCCGCATTTCAGAATGTTTTGACACATGTTTGTTTAGATTAAGAGTAAAGATCATTTGTACAGTTCAGTGTGATCTAGTTTGGTGCACTCTTATCATCAGTGGAAATAGAATGAAAACAGGAATGTCCTTCACGCCGTGAGAGAGTTAAATGTTCACGACACTGGTTTTATACTCTGACTCCTAAGTTATTGAGATGTAGTTGTTCTATAAGCGGTGTTACTACTCGTCAGAAATCATGAGGAGGAACAGTCTAATCCAGCCTGAGTGCGGGCTCGCGTCTGACCTCTGTCTCCGGACGCTGCGGCCTCAGAGCATCTAAGCTGGTCTTAAAGTAACGATTTGTCGAGTCATTCGTGGAAACAGGGATGTGGGTAAGTGCTGGTTTCTCGATACGTGAGTGAGTGAGTGAGTGAGTGTGTGTGCGCGCGCGTGTGTATTAAATGTATATATTCACACATTTTATATTGATATTCTGTAGATATGTTTGAATACGGAAACTTTTTTTTACCCCAACTACTGAATCAAAAAGTACCAAATAGTGTACAGCAGAACTAAGATTTCTGGTCGTGTGTAAAGGTACAGTGATTCAGCCATTTCCAGCTGTCACCTGTGTCCGCTTTCGTTTTAAGTTGAGCATTTCTCCGCAGTGGAATAGTCGGAGTCTGCCACGTCTCTGCTTCAGAAGGGGCTCCACTATTACGCTGGTCGAAAAATCCAATAAAAATACTTGATCAGTGATCAGCATTGAGTGGTTGTCAGGCATTTGGATGATCGACACGGATTTCAAGTCTTTCTGTAAGCACACTGAGCAGAGGCCTGTTTTCAATTGATACACGTGAACGTGGTTGGAGGAGCCTTTCCAAATGGCTTTGAAAAACTACAGTGCCATGCAGTACACATCTGTGACTTTTCCTTCATTTGATGGAACGTAGTTCTGTTGTAACCATGGTTTTGTAATGTTATTTTAAAGTTATGTTTTTGAATTATGGTCAAATATAATTTGGTCATCAGAAATGAAATGATAGTTTAAAACAAGTAGCTGTTGCTAGCTGTGCTAAAAATACTCATTTTGTGACTTTGATTTTTAAAGTTTTCTTAGCATATTATAAATTGTGCCCTAGTTAGTACAGATACACACGTCAGAGTCCCCATATTGTATCCATAGTCATTCGATGCTATGTGCCCTCCATAGGAAACATTTTTTTTTTTGTCCAGAATTTCACTAACCAGAATTCTGTTATAGGCCCTTAAACACACCGCATGAGGAAAATGGCACAATATGGTCTTGAGGTGCCTTCTGTGAACCATCTGAAAGATTAAATTATGCTCCATATATTTTTGTTTTTATTGTATTTCTTTGAAACTCTTCAGTCTTCATTCGTGAGTCATTAGAGTAATTTATTTGATAGTAGGTCTCTCACTTGAACCTGTTGGGGAGTTTATTTGGTTATGCGAGTAGCGGGCGGGTAGAGATTGCAGAAAGCACTCTGGACGACAAAAAGCAAGTTTCAAAAACTGTGAAGATGATTAAAAATTGACTGCAAAACACAAGATATCAAAAATAAAAAGTTTCGTCTCCCATTTTTAATAACTATATTATACGATTATTTTATAAACATGCAATAAAGAGGTCCCTCTTTATTAATTTTTCTCCACTTGGTCTTCTTCCAAAGTTACAAATCTTCTGGGGGTTTTTTAGTTTATCAGCTTGCATTTGGAGTGTTTTATCTTGCTGAGTAGCTTTCACACTTCGGTAGCATGCAATCTCATGTCTTATCGTTATTTTGCCTTAGGATGGATTTCAGTCATCATTTACTCTGATGGCAGACTGGTGTAAAAAAGAGGTGATCTATCTCTCATGTCCTTTCTTTTTATCTTAAATTCAGAGCATCCAGTAGTACAGTTACTAAGTTTATCATGGTTTTAATCACCACGTGAAGTTAGGTCCCGTCAATCGTGACTCATCCGGGCATCTTGGGGCCTTACAGTAGTCGAGGAACCTTTATGTCATTTCGGAGAACTTTCAGTGTCACAGAATCTGTGCTCGCTGTAGACGTGCACTTGACACAGGTCGCTGGGCTCCAGGTTCCCGGGTATTCCCTCGTGGGTGGCAGTTACGCACGCCGGACGTGGAGTTGGACGGCTCCCTGTGGACGTCCAAGTGGCTAATCCAGGCTCCCTGTGAATTAACCCTCTGCCTGCGTACTAGTCCCCTAACGTCTCTGAGCCTCCGCTTCTATGAAATGGAGCTGCAGTGGCGCCCACCTACGGGGTGGTGTGAGGAGACGGTGCGTGTAAGGCACTCAGCACCGGCCCCAGAGCAGTCCTCACTCAAATGTGGGCCGTCACCGTATTCGTTTCTTACTTTTACACACTGACGTGCGTATCTGTTGGCAGGCTGAAGTTTGGAGCATTCTCTCTGCTTACTCCACCTGCAGAATCCCCAGGCCCGTACTCTAGGGACTGAGATAGAAGTGATCACCTGTGTGATGCTTCTGATACCCTCGTCATTGGAAGACGGCTGGTGAGTCTGGTGTGTCTCACACTCTTTCCAGGCCTTTCTGTGGAGAGTTCGGGAACTCCATATTGGAAGCAGCTCAGTATCTTCTTTATGATTTCCTTTGCTTCTACCTCTCAGCTCCCAAATGCAGGACAACCCAGAACCCACCATGCTGTCAAGAGGTGGGTGGGTTCATGGAAATATGCCACGTGGACCAGAATGACCTAACATTACTTAGCAGCTGTACCTTAAAGGTTTGGTGCTCCAGGAGGATGGCTCAAGCCTTGAGTGCCTCCCTTGTTGACGGGGTTTTTTTTGTTTTGTTTTGTTTTTGTTTTTTTTACCGGCATTGTGTTGTTTGTAGGCAAATGTTACAACTTTCTTCTGGATAAAGAAACTAAAACAGATGATATTTATCTTTTAGCTTTTCTCAAGGTCAGAATATTGAATAGAATTCTGATATCCTGAGCATATATCCTGCCCTTGAAGCCATAGAATCGTTCCATGTAGAGCTGACAAATCTTCAGAGGGCCTTCATTATTAAATATGTTGTAGACTAAGCCGTGAAACAGTTCGCTAATCTTGTCAAAAGTTAAAGCTCTGTTTACCCGTGTCGGTGGAAGTTACGCCCTAACTCACCACTCCATGAAACTACAAAGAAGATGGACAGCACGGGTGCCAGATGTAAATGAGATCGGCCCTAAACACGATCACTTACTCATGTGAGTAAGAATAAAACATCCTTAGTAACACTGGTGTAACTTCTAACACTGTCAATACTAACAGCACGTAAGGTCTCATTACTGAAATACTCTACTGGGGGCGCTTGGGTGGCTCAGTCAGTTAAGTGTCCAGCTCTTGATTTTGGCTCAGGTCATGATCTCACGGTTTGTGGGCTCGAGCCCCACGTCAGGCTCTGCACTGATAGCACTTGGGATGCTCTCTCCCTCCATCTGCACATGTTCTGTCTCTCAAAAAAGCATTTTATTCTAAACAGAACACTGGACTGGGAGTACATTTTTGTGATTGTCTAATATTTATAGTTCTCTGCTTGAGAATGCTTTTAGGTGTAAGTTGTTGGGCTTTGAAATACAGTTGCAGTGAATAATGTTCATGCTGGTGTGGAGTGTGTCATGATAGTTTGTGAGTTTGTGAGTCATGATAGTTCAGTTCAAAACCAGAGCCAAAGCTCTAGTTAAGTAATTACTGACATGCAAAACTTAGAACTGAGAATAGAACACTGTGTTGTGTTTGGAAGATGGATAGCTTCTAGAAATTCTAGGAATGACCAAGATACTCAAATGGGGGGTGGTGATATATCATCCAGTAAAAGAAATTCCTGGGGCGCCTGGGTGGCTCAGTTGGTTGAGCATCCGACTCTTGACTTCAGCTCAGGTCATGATCCCAGGGTTGTGAGATTGAGCCCCTCGGCAGGCTCCGTGCTGAGCTCCGTGAGGAGCCTGCTTGGGGTTCTTGCTCTCTCGCTCTCTCTCTCTCTCTCTCAAAACATATCTTTGCAGACACATCTGAGGGAGACAGGCATTGTCTACTGGGCCATAGTCCTGGTCTTGTAAAGAGTACTGGTTAGGTAACCAGACAGCTGACCTATGCAGCGAAGAATTCACTTGAAAGGGTATGGGGGAGCTCAGGAGCTCAAAAGGGAAGTAAAAAACTGGACTTAGGGAGCATTCGGCTCTTGATCTTGGCTCAGGTCATGATCTCATGGTTTGTGGGTTTGAGCAGGTCTAATCAAGAATCCTGCTTGGGATCCTCTCTCTGTCCCTCCCCCACACTTGCTCTCTCTCAAACTTAAAAAAAAAAAAAAAGTAGACTTAGAGGACAGAAAGCTCCAGAAGGTTTTTTAACTGGAATTGTTCAAGAATCTTGCTTTTATTCCTCTGCTGGGTTAAATGAATCCTGTTTGTCTTTAAATTGCCCCATTCTTGAATCCCGGAAGTGATTCAAAGTCCTGGAAGTAGGTGTGCAAACCCAAGTCAAAGTCCCTGTTGGCAGCCATGGTGCTTTGAGAGAATGAGCCTCCAGGACCCCTGGCTTAAATGGCTTGAGGGCAAGGATCTGGATGTACCACCTCCTCACGACTAAATGCAACAGAAGGCAGGATTTCAACCAAAGAAAAGGGAGTACTGTGGACCAGGTGGCTGGACAAACACATGACAAGGACCAGCTTATCGAGCGATACCATAGGTACGAGCAAAACGGAGGTGATCCTGTAACCGGAGGGGGCCTGTTGAAGTGGGAGCCGCCAACACTGTGGTTGCAGTGCACTGTGCACTGGGTGGGCACAGCCTTGTGGGGACCACACGCTCTACTCGCCCCTGCTGCCAGAGTGCCGCCTGGCTTGTCCAGCGTGTTAGCTGGGTGATGTTTAACTTATTCCTGATTTTGTTCCAGATAACAGGTCTAAAAAAAAGAACACTGGAGACAGAAGGATAATGTTGGGTTTTGTTTTATTTCCAAGGAACGCAGACCTCTTCCTCTGTGGGCAGTGAGGGTGAAGGCCTGGTCATCCCGATCCCAGGGCCCGGGTACGCCG